GGCAGAGAGGCTGCTGTGTGCTTTGCTGTATGCTCGTCTGTCTGTCTGTGCACCCAACCCCTTTGTCATACCTTAGGCAAGCTCATGTCATACCATGTTGGTGTTACTGGGCTATCATCAGAGAAAGCCTCTGCGCTCCTCAGAGTTTCACAGTGCAGCTGATGCTCGGATGGTTGCTTCCCCAGTAACCATTGAAACCACACAGGGAGAAATGCACTCCTGGATTGGGGAGTTATTAAACAGCTGGTGCTTCTGCAGGTCAGGAAAAAATCAAACAAGAAAAAACATAAATTTGCCCTTGATTTTCCTAAAAGCAGAGCAGGTCTCTTGGTGTTACTTTCAGGGCAAGGGAGAGAGCTGCCAGCCCTGCTGGGCTGGGATTGCACCATGCGCTCCCCTCCCATAGCTGTGTGACCCCATGCCTCTCTGCCCATCACCTCTCATTCCCTGCTCTGAGTTTTTCTCTTTGCTGTTGGAACCCCGTAGGATTAAGCAGCAAATCTGCAGCCCGTACCAGGAAGCAGCTGCCTCGTCTCATAAACCAATTTGTGTCTCATTTCACTAACTTCAGCTTTAACCAATAAAAAAAGAAAGGTAATTTTCAGCCCTGGGTTGTATTTATTACTCGAGTTATCAGCCCTTGTAATCAGTATTAGCATCGCTGTGTAAAGTAATACAAAACTAATTACTAGCTGAGTGAATTAAATAGATGAAGGCTGTAGGTCGCATTGGCAATGGAAGAAGCTAGTTCTTGAGTTATGATTGATAAGTGTTGGCTTGGCTTTGCTGTGAGGGTGCCACAAAAAGGGACCAGGGCAGGGATGGAGCATCCCTTTGGGGCTGGCTGCCTGTAGGGACTCAGGTGGGTGCTTTGGGATGACCTGACTTGGTCAAGTTGTCCCCCCAAAAATGAAAGCTGCACCTGGGGAAATTAAAGCAGAATCCACACTGCCTCTTAGCACCAGCAAATCCCAACCACAGGGAAAGAGTATCTCAAAGTCTGAATCCTCCCTCTCTTACAGACCACAGCCAGTGCTTGCCGCTGTTGTCCCAAAACTGAGGCCAGGTCCCAGCATCCTGATGTCTCTCTATGGGGGTTTTGGGTCTTTTCATGACCCAGACCCTGGCTGCCAGGCCCCTCCCCATCCCAGCTGGGAGGCAGCATCCCAAGTCAGCCTACAGGTAGGGGAAGATTGCTGAGTGGTCTGTGTGCAGAAGGAGTTGTCTCAGCTCCTGCAGCTGCAATGGGCTTTCTGGATCCTGCCTGTGATGGGAGGGGAATATTGAGCTCTGTGCTGGGATGATGGGATCCAGTCCCAGAAATGAGGTTTGTGTGTGTGATGGTAGTGCAAAGATTGATAAAAACAGCCAAAGGGTTGAAGTCAGACTCAAAGATTGGGGAAACTTAGCAACATTTATTGCTGCAGCAGTCCTGACTTGCTGAGATCCCACCAAACGATTGTCTCATGCTCCAAAGGTGTGTGCTGCCTTGTGAGGGCGATTCTGTCCCATCGGGGCCAGGCGCCTCCACCGCTTGGAGCTCCTCACAGCCCTCCTGGTCCGTGGTGCAGAGGGATTTCAGACACCTCCTCTCCCCGTGCAGCTGCTGAGGTCCCTTCCACCCGGCTGCTTGTTTGCCTTCTTGCTGTCCGTGCTGCTTATTCGGTGCAACACAACGCCTGGAGGTGGGGCGGGACGAGGGGCCGGCAGGATGCGGGCGGGATGCACAGAGCCAGCAGATGTTCGCAGTACAGCCGTACGTCTTTTAAAGCAGCCCCTTCCCCCCTTCGCCGTGCAAATCTGCAGACCCCCATCTTGGGGACTGGGAAAAAAGTCCGGGTAAGCGTGGGGAGGACAGAAAAACTTCAGCACCTCTTCTCTGAGCCAGCCAGGAGAGGGAGACAGTGACCGCCGTGTGCTGCACACGCACTCACACTCGCACACACTCACACACGTGTGGCTGCGTTGGCAAACATTGACCCCAGAGGGTGACATGGAGGCAAACGGTGGCATTTTGCACGACCACCCGGAAAACAATTCTTGCAAGCAGTGGAATTTTCCACTAAGCAGCTATTTTGGAAGACTCTATAATTGGCTTTTATCTGTCTTCCCTCCTCTTTCTGCCTTCAGAATAAATGCATGCAAATGGGATCTCTTGTTCCCCAGCAGTTTGTCTTCTCCTGCTGCTCACTGCCTGCCCTCAGCTGCTCTTGCAGGGAAGGTGCTTACAGCAAATGCATCAGGACAGAGAAAGTTTAGGGCCATCAGGAGCCTTTTTTTAATGCAGTGCTCTGTGCAATACGAAATGGAGCAATCAGGATGAAGGTGAACTCGACCAGCTCAGCAAAACCAGTGCTATAGCAGCAAGCTTAACAATATGGTTACAACATGTGTCTCTGCTTTGCCCTGATGCCTATCTGTGAGTGCTGTCAGCCCTCCCTCATTGCTCCTGATTTGCTCTAGCATGGGTGCAGTTCCAGGTGTTCTGCATAAGCTTTGTGCTCTTACTGGGGTTTGTTGTCTTTTTGTTGGTGCTGGTTTCATGCTTTTAAAGCCATAGGAGCAGGAAGGACGTTTTGGTGTCTGCAGCTCATTTAGTTCAGGTCTGGAGGTGACAGAAGTGGTCATCCTGCCTGCTGACTGCAGCACAGCATGGGCAAGAGCAGCATCTCACAGACGAAATCATCCGTGTGCAATGGCAGGAATCGAATCTGTCTTCAGTTCTGATGGAATCCACAGCAAGGCTGTGGTTTTTTTCCTCTCACTGGATGCAACGTTAAGCAATGAAGGATCTGTAGGTCTAATTCACTTTGTATGCACTTGCAGTTGACAAACACAAGGAACAAACTTTTCTTGCAGCTTAGTTTCAGAATGAACATTAGGATGATTTCAGCGTAGCACTCCGGTGTTACATGGTATGAAATCAGGCACACAATCAGGGTCTGAGCACAGTGCTGAGCACAGCACGAGCTGAACTGGAGCAGAATGAGAGGTGTGATTATTTTTCTAAAAGGTCAGAGCTGTATGAGGCTTCTGCCTAAAGAAACTGTTCCTGCTTGAAACACCTCTCTGCTGCTGGCCACTTTGCAGGCACGATGCTGCATGGGCTGACAGCAGCTTTGCTGTGAGAAGGATGCCCAAAAGCTTGAGGACAGTCTGGGCTGAGCGAAGCCCATTTCATGGGATGGAGGTCATTTAGCTGCTCAGGTGCAGGACACGGTGTGACCCAGAGGCAGGAGTGCTTTTCTCATGGATTTCATTGCAGCAGGTCGATCTGCTTGCTGGCTGTCTCACCTGGGTTAGGGATGCACTGTCCTGAGCAGTGGGGAAAAGGGCAGTGGCAGCAGTGCTGGGGGTGTTGGGTGGTGAGGGATAGGGAGGGCATTTGGGTTGCTGCAGCCTGGGGCATGCACAGTGTCTGGTTCTGCTCCACGCTGTTAGGGAGGACAGAATCCGATCTGGTGCCAGTGCTCGCACTCTAACTCATCTCTTTTTCTCCACCTGGTGGACTTGCTGAATGTGCATTCATGTCAGTGCTTTTCTGAAACTGCCTCGCACTCTCTGCAGAAGCAGCTCTATGCAGTGAATACATTTCAGGGCTCAGCTCCCTGTTGTTTGGCTCTTGCTCTGCACACCAATCTCGATGTTGTATGGCAAAGATGCTGGTGGGTCAAAGCCTTGGGGCATCCATCAGCACCTTCACAGCCAGTAAGGAGGGGGCTGTGACTCCACCACCTGCAGGAGCTACACCAGGAGAGGAACTGTACCAGAAGGGGCAGATTTGGGGTTTGTCTGAAAGACTCCAGCTGGGCGGACATGCTGGGGGTGCCATGGCCATGGGATACACATGCAGTGTGACATGGAGCAGGGCCTTGGTGGCTGCCCCATCATGCTGAGGCTGATGTAGCAATGGAGCAAGCGGGCTCACTCCTATCCTCTGGAGAGGGACAGGAGATTCATCTCATAATTTGCTTTGCACGGGGTGTTTAAAGGTTCACTCAGAGAAGGATGTGCAAGGGCTCTCAGATCTGTCTTGGCTGAGACTTTGGTTTCAAAGCCACTGGGACACTTCCGAACATGCAAATGATAACGAGCCAAGTCTTGATGCTGAGGAGCTGGATGGAGCAAAGCCGCCATCCCATCGGCAGTGTACAGATCACGAAGCAGCGGGCACGGCTGGCAGAGCGCTGCTCCTTCACCCCGTCGCTGACAGCAGCTCCTTTTGTCCCGCTTTGAACAAATACGGGGCAGCTCCCACGGGATGCCCGAAGCCGCGAACCCACCGCCCCGCTCCACCGCAGCGCCGCCCGCGGCCACCAGGGGGCGCCATAACGCCGCGCCGCAGCGGAGCCCCGCTGCACCGGGGGAGCCGCCCCCGCCCCGCTCCTCCGCCCTGCTGCTCTTTCCCGCCTCCTCCCCATTTCCCCCTCTCCCCCAAATTTTTCCGTCTTCCCACAGCTTTGGTCCTTTTCCCCAAATGTCTCCCTCGCTTCCCAAACCTTTTCCTCGCTCCTCAAATCTTTCCCCTTCTCTCCAAGTCTTTTCCCCCCTTCCTTAAACCTTTCCCTTTTTCTCCCCAGCTCTCTCCCTAAATCTTTACACCCTCCATCCCTCCTCTCTTCCAATTCCCCAAATCCATCTCCCTAAAATCCCTCCCCAAATCCTTTCTCCCTCCTCAGCTCCCCACCGCCCCCCACGCCAATCCCTTCTCCCCTCCTTCTCGCTCTTCTCCCCCCCTCCCCTCCCTCTTTCTACCCTCCGCAGGCTCTCCGGCTGGCTGAGCTCTCCGAACATTCCCGCCCCCCCGCTCCTCCCTCCCCGCTCCCGTCCCGCCTCCTGCAGCCGCTCGCTCCGCTCCGCACCGCTCCGGTTGGGGCGCGCCCGGTGGCGGCGGGCGGAGGGAAGTCGCCCCGCTCCGCTTCCAACACCGGTACCGACAGCAGCACCGCAAGCGCCGGGCAGGACCGCGTCGAGGAGACGGACGATGGGCCGGCGGCGAGAGGCGTCGGTGGTGGTGGCCGTCGGGCGGTTGTCGCAGCCCGTCCCCAGCGGCATGGAGCCCGGCGCCGGTGCAGAATGAAGGGTGCCTGGCGCCCACCCCCGCAGACATGTCTGTGCCTTTACTCAAGATTGGAGTCGTCCTCAGCACCATGGCCATGATCACCAATTGGATGTCGCAAACGCTGCCCTCCCTCGTGGGGCTCAACACCACCAAACTCACGGCGGCCTCGGGCGGCACCTTGGATCGCAGCACGGGAGTAAGTGCAGGGGGCGGCGGGGGGGGGGGGGGGCTGGCCGGAGCATCCCTACCTCCCTCGGCAGCTCCCGCCTGAGCACCCCCCGGTCACCCCCATCCCTCCGTGCCTCATTGCCCCCCAGCCCCGGGACCTGCCCAGCCGCCTGGGAGAGGGGGGTGGATCTCGTTATGAGACCCCCGAGCCTCCCGCTGCAGAGAGCGGTGCAAAGGGGAGAGGCAACTCTGCGGTCCCCCGGGATGACGGGGTTACGTTTTGGGGTGGTAGGAGATGCGGGGTTGCGGTGCTGGGTTGTCCATCCCCGACCCCGGGAGTGAGACGGATGCTTCCCAACGCCATCAGCCGGGAGAGCGCAGAGTTTCCCTCGTGGTTGTTTCTCTGAGTGATACGGTTTGGGACAGCAGGTGCGAGTCCTGCAAAATCTCGTTTGCTTCCCTGCCTTTAATCAATAGGCGTTAATGGGGTGGAAAATGCAGCGGAGCAGTTGCGGCGTATTTCGGTCGTGCCTTATGTTTGCTGTCCCTGTTTTGCTGAAAGGCTGGGACGGAGCCCGGGTTTGGCACTTTGGAAATGGCAGAGGGAAACGATCCTTCTGTCTGCCTTCCCACAGCAGGAAAAAAACGGGTACCTTTCACCTCCGGGCTGCACGCCTGTGCCTCACAGCAGAGCCACCGCTTTACAGCTCTGCTGCTTCAAAGCGGCTGTTTCCTGTAGTGCCTCTGCTGATTGTGAATGAAGCTGGGATTTTTCCATCTTATCAAGGCTAATGAGACTTTTTTTTTTTTTTTCTGGTTGTTTTAGCTAGATTAAATTACTCGTCTGTCCGCTAGTGTGTGCCTGTGCACATGGGTGTTTGCAAGGTTATTTGTAGTGCATTGAAATAGCAGGAAGAACATTTCCCTTCTGGCTGGCAAAACAGTGGTACCTTCAAAGTGATCAGACGCTGAATTGTGACTAAATAATGTATTTTGCAAAGTGCTGGGAGATGAAAGGGGAGTTAAGATCAGAGAGCTTTGGGGAGCACGAGTGGTGCGGGGAGGACGGGGAGAGCGCTTGGAGCTGCAGCGTGTCCCGGGTGCTGTGGTAGCAATGGTGGTCGTCTGCCCCGTGCTGCATTGCTCTGCTGCTGTGTGCTCCGTGGGGTCCTGACCTATGGAGCGTTTAGGGGGGAATGGTTGTCCTGAAGAAGCTCCCCGTCCCCGGGAGAGCCTGGCAGAGGATGGAGGAAATGTGACTCCTCGTATTGCATCGCTGGCTCCAGGAGGGCTCTGCAGGTGCTCAGCGACAGCTCAGCTCTCAGCCAAGACGCCGTGCCCTCCCTGTGAGTTCGGGCACATCCTGCTCACGGCCTCAAGGAGACCCCGAGTGTGTGGTGATGACAGCCCAGCCACGAGCTGTGCTGGCTGGTTTGGCACCCGGTGCTGAGCCTCTGCGATGCGGCTTCCCTGTGTCCATGCTCCCCTGTGTCCGTGCTTCCCCTCTTGCATTGCCCTGTGTGCTCCATCTCTTCTTCTCAGACCTTTCCTTCATTTGTCCCCGATCCATATTTTTGCATTACAAGTGAATCCTGCTCCTCCTCGGAGCATCCCTCCTCTCGCTGCACAGCTCCGTGCTGCTTCCTCCCTCCTCTTCCTCACCCATCCCCGCGGAGCCCCCCCGTTTTCTTAACCCTTTTTTCCCCTGTGTCAATCAGGTGTTGCCTACCAACCCAGAGGAAAGCTGGCAGGTCTACAGCTCTGCCCAGGATAGCGAGGGACGTTGTATATGCACAGTGGTGGCACCTCAACAGACGATGTGCTCGCGTGATGCCAGGACAAAGCAGCTGAGACAACTATTAGAAAAGGTAACGGCTGATGTGTTCTGGGCAAGGGGGGGTGGTTTGGCATGGTGTGAAGGGGGTGAAAAGCTGAGGGAGATGGGTTGAGCCTTCGTTTCCAGAAAAGGCAGAGCTGTGCAGTCGGTGCAGCGGGGAATAATCAGGCAGGAGGACAAATATCTGAGTATTTCTGAAAGGAGGAGAGCCCACGTCCTGAGGTCGGGTTAAAACTGCTGAGACCAAAGCAGAGATATTGAATCGCGACAGTTTATAAAATGGAAAAGAAATAGGGATGCATTAATTTCTATTCATCACAAGGATGAGCCTCAATGAGACTTTAAAACAAAACGAAGCCCACGCACTCCCAGCCAAGCTGATATGAGAAGAGGTCGCACAAAACGGTGCAAGCTGTCAGCATCAAATAGCAGAGAGATGACAATTCATGGTCGTCTTCTTCTAACGTTGACATCCATTTGATTAGTTTTAGTAGTCTGCTGTCCAAAGAGATCAAAGAATCTCATTAGGGACACGTTCCTGATAACGAGAAGCTTTCCAGGTAATAGATTTCGTTAAAAAATGCTGTTTCATGCAAAATGGTGCTCTTCTCTTCAAAATATAAGTGCACTCGTGCTCTGGGTCTGTAATGCTCCTTGGTGCCCTCATGCATGTGTTGCATGACCAAGTGATTTGTACCCTGGTGCTCTCACAAAGCTGATTTATCACTCATCTCTGCATCAAGCCCACACCAAACTGATTTTCCTATGTGATAAGGGCAATAAACTCAGCCAGAAAAAACTTAGCCCTGAAACTTCTGATTGTGCCATCGGCTTCTGAAAATAATCCCAAAGCTCAAGCTTTATTTCTCTGAGCTCTAACAGCAATGGGTCGGGCAGTGCGTTTGGCTGGGAGGCGCTGAGTGCTGTGCTGGAGCCCAGTCGTGCTCCCAGAGCTGCTCACATGCGTAAACCAAGCGGGCTTTGACCCGATGCCCTCTGCTAACAGCAGGCTGAGCTGAGTGCAGCGGCCCTGGAGGAGCAGCAGCTGCAGAGCGCACGGCGTGAGCGCTCGGGGATTTTTCCCTTACGCAGCTCTCCGGCTGCCAATGAGTAAAGTGAGGGAGGAGTGGGCTGAGAGGCGAGTTCTACCTGCCTGCTGCTCCGTCTGCAGCTCACTCCTACGCTAACCTATATGAAAACCCCAAAATAAAGAGTGGGCTCTTGGTGCCAGACATCTGATCTCGATCGAGGCTGGAATGCAAATCCCTCTATAGGGAAAATGGATCCGCAGAGGAGAGCTCCCGGCTCCCCAGGGAGGATGTCAGGCCTGGATGCTCCTTCCCCCATCTGACATTTTCACTCCTGTTTTGAGAAAGCTCTCACCTCCGGATTTCTCTCTGCCAGCAGATGAAGAAACAGAATGTGCCAGGAAGGCAATTCTGGTTGGATTTTCAAAGTAGGAGACCTGGCACTCACCTACAGAAATCATAAGGCGTTGCTTCCAAGGGCCAGAAGGAAGCTGCTTTTGTGCGTGCGCGCACACAAACCACCCAGAGCAAAAATCACTGCATGGAGACTCACAGCTGCCAACCCCACCAGCCTTCAGCACACGGGCACCTGCACACATGGGAGCTGCAGGTGAATCCTGGGCACCCGGCAGGGCTGAGGAGCAGCAGGTGCAGGAGCGGAGGTGAGCACGGGCTGCTCGCCATGCACAAACTGTGCAGCCCCAGCCCCGCGTGGCTGAGCTCATCGCTGGCATCACTGGCCTGCTCGTGCCGAGCCCTGCGTGCGTCAGGTGCTGAGGCCACATCTTGGCCTTCCTCCAGACCGACACGTCACTGGGATCCTGTTCATGAGCAGATTATATTTTATCTTCAAATAGGAATTTATTTATTTATTTGTTTTTCCACCTGGCCTTGTTATCTGGGAGGGCTTCCTCCTTTGACAGTTGAACCGGCTTTCGTTTCCTGCCAACGCTTGCTCTTTGCCAGTGCTTATCTCCAGCCTAGGCAGCTCTTCTTGTTCCTTTGATATTCGCTCTGAGGTGCATAGTAATCTCAGCCTTCACTTTGCCTTCTGCAGTCCTTACGGGAAGGGCTTTGCACATCCCAATCTAACAGCTAGCTATCTCTGCCGATCATTCCTACTGAGTACCAAAATCTCCCTTGAGATGCCTCCTGCTATGGCTTCTCCACTGGTTATCCAGCTACCCCAAGCTCAAGCCAAACATTCATCCTGTTCCAAAACCCAGAGTGGGTAGAAAAAGCTTGATAGCAGAGCTATCATAGAATCACAGGAGAGCAGAAAATGATGGGGCATTGCTAAAATGCAGAGCTAAAAATGATGGGGCACTGACCATGTAAACCCAACAGTGGATCATCAAGCCAATTCCGACTCTCAGCTACTCTGGTTTACTTCTGAAACAGCTCAGTACTAACCAAGAGAGCAAGAACAGAACTGGATATTTGGTTTGTATCAAATTTCTGTTCTGAATGCTAAAATTGACTCTTTTCCCTGAGGTGGGTTTGTCTCTCTAATCAGCTTGATGGAAAACAAGGTTTCGTGTTGAGAGTGTGTGCTCAACCAATGGGGCAAAAAGCATTTTGGCTGATGTTAGCAAAGTAATGGACGAAGCTGAGGGTATCTGAGACGATATCCTTGGGTCTCAGTTGATTAAAGCACTTATGTACGTGCTTAAGTTTAAGCTAGGAGAAGTCTCACTGAAATCTAATCGTGTGCCAAAGTACTTTGCTGGATCAAGGGCTTAATATGCTAATGAGGGAAAACGAGTAGATCTCCAGATGATGGAGCACACATTGCTGTCAGGGATCAGGAATGACGGAGATGAGTTTTTACAAGTCTGGCCAGAATCCTGCCTGCCTGAAAACAATACAGGCAGCAAATAGCGGGAGGCTGAACTCGTAGAGCGCATCCTGAAATAGCACAGCAGCTAATTTTAGTTGTCTCAGTTTAGAGACGTGTGAGGAAGCTCATTTCCTCTGCAGTCGGGGGAGAGGCAGGCTCCTCCAGAGGTGATTCAGAGCAGCAGCCTGGCCGTGGGGCTGATTCATTCCCTGCAGCCTGCTTCTGTCTGATAGGACCTGCAGGGCCGGGGTGCTGCTGCGCATCAGCGTACCCATGCAGAACTGCTCTTGTCTGACTGCCTGCAGCTTGGCCCTTCATCAAGCTTGGGCATTAGTGGGCTAAACGAGATCAATTTTGTATGATCCTTACCAGTCATGTCTATTTCAGCTCATTGAAACAATTTTGCTGTGCAGATGCAGCGTGACTCACGGGAAGGTGGTCTGGATTATTGGCACAAGAGCATCTATCAGGAGAGGCTGCAGATCAGCTGTGATTGTCCAAGGCCTTTCCTCTCCCTCCCTGGGGCACAAAGAGGCCTCTGAGCCCCCCATTTCTTTCTGTATTTGGCTCCACCAGGGATGGGAATGGAAGTAGACTCATGGGCTCTGGGAAGTGGCTTGCAGGGTATTCTCAGAGACTGTTTGGGATCATGTTCAGGCTTTGCTGAAATTCTCAGAGAGGCTTGGAGCAGGATGTCTGGGCACCAGGCTTAGATGCCTGATTCATTTTGAACACTGGCATCAGCCCTGCAATGCCAATAGGGGCATTTCTATGGGCACTATGGCAGTGGAAAGCATTCCTTGAGCTAAGTGCAGTACAAACCCAAGAACCCCTGCTGATCAGGGGCATCCATTGCTTAATGCTAAATACGTGCGTAAGTTCTTTCCTAAGTCAGTGCTTCATTTACCCTCTCAGAGCCTGAGAATGAGAGGTAAATATCTCAGTTAATCAGCTGACAGCCAGCCTTCAAAACCAGGTCACTCCAGCTCCCATTTCCCTCCATTTCTTGCCCCTCTGGCACCAGCAGAAGCCCACCAGCTTCCTTGCATCTGCTCTGCAGCAGAGCCAGGCAGGTGCACACAGGGGGTGCAAGAAGGGGCATCAGTGGAGCCTGGGCTGCACCTATTACACTCCAGCCACCTCATCCTGCAGCTGCACTGCTTGTGGCAGATGCTGTATAAATAGTGAGACTGTTGGAGTGATGAAGTTTTACTAGCTGGGAGTAAAGCTTGCACTTAGGCAGTCAGTGTGCATCACTCACGTGAAGAAATGATAACGTACGCCTCAGCAGAAGTGTTTGTCATAGTCAGATGTGCTCCAAATGGGCTCTTCTTGCCCAAATCAGACATCCTGTGATTCTATGATCCTGTGCCTATCGAAGAAGCCATTACTACAAATGCACTTTATAGTTGACTACAGCCTTTATTTGCATGTGTGATTGTTGAATTATTCTCTGCAGCGCAGCAGAGTACACAGTGATGAAACCAGTTTGCTGTGCTTTAGAGCATGGAGTCATAATACTGAGAGATGCTGATGATGAGCTGGTAAATAATGCATCTGCTGATTACCCTTTTGCCACTTTGGCTCCAAGCAAAGGGCAGCATCTGCACTGCTGGTGGTGCAGCTCCCTTGTAACTCATCCCTTCTCGTTTGGCAGGTGCAAAACATGTCTCAGTCAATAGAGGTGTTGGACAGGCGGACCCAGCGAGACCTACAGTACGTGGAGAAGATGGAAAACCAGATGAGAGGACTGGAATCCAAATTTAAGCAAGTGGAAGAAAGCCACAAGCAGCACCTGGCAAGGCAGTTTAAGGTATGTCTGCTTTCCAACCTGCTAACAGAGGCGTAGCGCGGCGTCCCAGCCTGGCAGCCCCTGCTATACTGCAGCCCAGCTGCAGGCTGTGCTCACAGCTCCCCTCAGCTCCCCCCTATCCAAAGCACGGCCAGAGAGCGTTTTCCTATAGGGTAAAAGCCAAAATCTCTGCATTCCCATGATGGCAGAGCTAGCTCCGTGTTGGAGGACTCTGGGCAGGATGAGGGCAGGCAGAGGCAGGCACCCCCCTACCCCCATTCCTACTCCTGTTCTCCTTAGGAAGAACCTAAAGGTTTGCAATAGCCTGGAGCTGAGCCTTAGCAAGCAGGTTCTGCAGCACACAGGAAACCACACCAGGCTCTCAGCACATCACTGCCCTCCTTGGCATGGGTTGCATCCATGGGGCAATCAGCCAAGCTAACAAACCCCACCAAAAATAATTTTAAAAAGGAATTTACAGCTCTTTGGCTGTCCTCAGGATGGCCAGCGGAGCATCTGAAGGATGTGCAAACGTCTGGTTTGGAAGTAAGAGCGTTGGCAGGGCTTTGCAGTGAGTGATGTGCATAGATTAGGAGTGGAAAAATCATCCCTCTCAATGATGCTGCCATTGCAGCAAACTTTCAGTCACATGAGTGAGACCAAGTGAAATTGCTGGAAAGAGGCTGTCAGCAACACTTGTCATGCCAAATTCTAGTAATATTTTGGATGAACCATAAACACAAATGGCAGGGATTTCTACTGAAATCCAAGGATGCTTCCCACCACATGATTCCCATCTGCTTGCACAAGCTGACCTGTGTGTTAAGCCAGCTATTTCTTAAAGAGCTTGTTAAATACCACGATGACACAATAAAAGCTAGGAAGAAGGCTCACAGAACTTCCCACCGGCCCCAACTCCTGCCCTCCCCACCTGCAGGACCCCCTGCTTGGCCTGCCAGGCTCATCCTGCAGAGTTAAACATGAGATTCTTTCTCTTCTTCCTTATTCATTCTGATGAGTTTGACCCTCCCCAGTGCCTGCCTGGGAACTTGCAGCAGTTATCAAAGTAGATAGGAAAATAAAGACGTGCCCCACGTGCAGAGCGCAAGAGGGAAAGCCTCTTGGCTTAAATAGGAGGGGATGGGATGGAAAGAAATGATGCTGAGGGACAATTTCTGGTCCCCTTCACCTCCAGAGCTGCTTCAGCAGCCAGGCAGATTCTGAGCCCTGCTCTGGATGGGGTCAGGGCAGGAGCACCAGGTGTATGCTGTATGCTGCCATGCTTCATTAACGGGCAGGTGCATGCATATTTATGTCTGCTCATTAGCTGCTGGAGCAAAGCATCTTCAACAAAATGCTGCATACTGTGCCTTTAAACCAGGCCTCCATTTAATTCAAAAGCCAAAATACAGAAAGAAGCCTGAATTCCTGCAAAATAAACTTGATAACGACTTGGATTTTTACGCTTTTCATGGCGAGTCTGAAAACGGCCAGGAGCTTTTGTCTCATTTGCTGCCAAAGCACCACTTGAAATAACAGCACAGCATTTTGTTTCTGCTAATGCCAGTGTTGAGATGTGAGTGGTTCGGAGATCTTGTGTTCTTTCTCTTTAGTTCCGTATTGTCTATGAATGGCTATCTATATAAGGCAGGTTAGCGAGCTAGATCCTCAACAGTATTTCATTTTCTTGCTTACAGGGCTAACTTAAAAGCAAGTTTTTTCAATGCTGCAGTGACTGAAGAAGCAGTTCACTCCCATGTAACCATGAAAAGAGGGCCACAGAGCATTTTGCACCATGCATTTATTTTTTTTTGATTATTTTCCAAATTAGCACCATATCTCACTAAGGAGCCTTGAACCACACAACCGAGATCTTCCTTTGCATGCAATTGTAGATGCATTTCATGAATAGTTTGAAACCCTTGTCAATGCATATATATATTATTTTATTTTATTTTATTTTATTTTGGAAGAAAAAAGAAAAAAAAAAAGAACTCTTTGTGTATGTGATCTGAAGCATGTAACCCTAAGATGTTGCATTCTAAAAATGACAAATAAAGGCCTTTCCCAAATATTTTGGTGTTCTGCAGCCTGTTTAATATGTTCTTTCCAATACGTCATTCGGACCAAAATAATGATTAAAGTAATTTTAATGATAATAATTGTGGGGATATGAACATTGCACTCACGTAGGAAGCAACCAGGTCAAGGCAGAGTGTTGCAGATTTTTGCACGCATAGCACTGAATCGAGCTTATTTTAACCTTGCAGGCAATAAAAGCGAAAATGGAGGAACTTAGGCCTTTGATACCAGTGTTGGAAGAGTACAAAGCCGATGCAAAATTGGTATTGCAGTTTAAAGAGGAGGTCCAGAATCTGACGTCAGTTCTAAACGAACTCCAGGAAGAGATTGGCGCCTATGACTACGAAGAGCTTCAGAACAGAGTGTCAAATCTTGAAGAAAGGCTTCGTGCATGCATGCAAAAATTAGGTAGGCTCAGACCAACATGGTGGCACTGGCTAAACACCATCGATGTCCCAACACACCTCCCGGCTGCAGGCAGAGATGCGGCTTGGCCATCTCCAGGCACCTCGCAAGGGGAGCCCTGCAGCCTGGCGCCATCCTGCAAGCACCTGTGCTGCGAGCAACACTCACCCTGCCAGCTGTCCTGCTGGGGATTGCTTGCATGCCTGATGTTGCTCACGGTGCAAGTGCTTCAGGATCAGGCCCGTAAGTAGGCATGTGACTTTTTGCAGCGTTTGCATAAGCGGACGGCGACGTGCGCAAACGCAAGCGGCGCTTATGCAAAGCAAACACATGCGCCCGTTCTGCTTATGCATCGATGTCTAAGCTGTTTGCTACCTGGACCTGGCGCATCAGCGAATGTCCCTGCACCCCGCTTTAAGCAGTGCGTGTGCAGGCTGCAAAATCAGTTTCCTTTGTTCCTTTTGCATCTTGCAAACCCCCCCCCCCTGTTGAGAAGAGCATGACGTGCTGGCGCGGCTGGGACACCGGGCAGGATGGGACACCCAGCACCGGGCAGAGGGGCAGGGAGGGGGCTGCCTCCCAGTGCGCATCTCCCCGCTGCTTGCTGCCCTCGTGCTGCCTTGATTTAATTTCTCCTTCCATTATTGACTTTCTCGTTAAGCAATTTAGGTAATCTAAACACATTAACTGCTCCGCAGTCTATTTTGGTAGCACATATGAAATTACACTCTCAGGTAACTTCAAGGAAGAGCTGATCTCTTCTCAGCACTGTATACCCTTGGCAAGGTAACGTTTCATTTCGCGTGTCTCCACTGTTGGAATTGCTTTTGCTTGTTTCTAGGCACCCCCACACCTCCGCGGGCAGCCGCCTCCCTGCCTTCCCATTCTGTTACCTCCTGCTCCCCTTCCCAGCTCTCCCTCTCATTCTAATTTTGGAGAGGCCCCTGGGCACAGAGGTGGCTTTATGGGAGGAGATGGTGCCGTGTGAGAACCCACACTTTCAGCCCATCCCTCGAGGAGCAGGAGAAGCTGTTCATTGTGGGTAGAGAGGATGGCAGCAGGACCAGGAAACTACACCTGGGCCATGGGATTGCTTACCTTGGGACAGGTCTTTCAACAAAACCATCTTGGACCTCAGGGCTTCAAAAACATTGAGTTTGCCCATGCATTGTTCAGCCCTTCAGCTCAGGGCTCATTGCATCCCCCCCACGTTCACGCTCTCCCAGTGGGACACCTGACCAAGCCAGTGGCCCAGGTAAGGCTGAGGCAGCTGGGATGGAGAGGTCTTGTGGGCAACTTTTTCTAGAAAGTTTTGTTGTCTTTTAAAATTATTACTATTATTTAGATTTTATTTGGGAGCTTTGGCTTTGCTCCTTCTTTTTCCTCCAGCCCTGGGGTGATCCCAGGCAGCTTTTGTGCCTTGGGGATCTGCAGCACCCCTGTGTGTGCACAGAGACCAACTCTGACTCTTGCAAAAGGGTTCTCCTGGGAGGCTTTGCTGCTCACCAGGAGGGTGATTTATTTGGTCATTTAGCAGCAAAGAGCACAGGCTGAATGCCCAATGTTGTTTATCGCTCTGGAGCACAAACCAGTGCAAATAGGAGTTAATTGAGTTAAATTCAGGTAACAACCTTACAGGCACTTTGCTGGCACATGGTAAGACCCTGTTTGCTCAGGATTGTTGTTTGCTGCAGATTATGTGCTCAGAGGGATGCACTGGAGTCTCACGTAGCACATTTCAGCTTCGTTTGTTCCTGCATGGTGCAGCAAGGCTGCTTACCTGCATTCACCTGCTAGAGCAGGGCAGGGGACCAGGAGGCAGAGGCCATGTGCTGCATTCCTGCCCACCTCACCTCCCCAGGGAGCCCTGATGCTCAGCAGTGCAGCAGCATTCTCTTTAGACAAGGTCCTTTTTGTATTTGGGGTTTCTTAAGCGTTCTTGATGGATCAATAGTGAAAACACTTCCTAACCCTGTCGTGTGCATGTGAAGGGAAAAAAGAGATCAATAACAGCGTGTTCAATCTGTTGTGCTGTTTACATTCTTAAAGAACACTATTTATGTAGGGATTTTAACGTTTCCATTACCCTGAGAAGAGCACTGGGAGAGGGAAGGAGCTGGCACTCCTTGAATCAAGGGGGATTTCATTCAGCTGAGCTCTGTAGGCTCGTGTTTGCCAATGCCATGAGCTTTCCCAAACTCTTGCAAAAAAAATCCCAGCCTACAATCCTGGTGGATGGAGGAAGAGCAAGTGTGTTTTCCCCTCTGGGAAAGGCCAGGTCCTGCTGGCCTGTGCCCAAAGTGTTTGGGTTGGGCTGGGGTGATGGAGATGAGGGTAAGACATGACCCCACATCCCCAGTGCTGGGAGCAGGTTGGGAGGACAGGTGGGTGCTGCCTGAGCAGAGCCTGGCAGCACAGCACAGGTGACTGCATTGGTGGTAAATTGCTGCCAAGCTGCTAAACATCACCTGCAGGTGGGCTGGATCTCAGGGAAAATAAGGAGTGGGGCTGTTAGCATCCTGGGAGGGGGATGGTGGTCATTGTAGCTGGCTCAAAGCGTGTTGTCTGCTGCTGGTGGTGTGGGCAGGGGAAGGGGTTGTGTGTTTATTGTGCTGTGTTGTATTGCTGATGCGTGCAGCTGCAGGAAGGTGGTTTGGAGCTGGGATAGCCTGCAGGGCCTCCAAAGGGGCTGAGTTGTGCTGGTTCCCAGGAGGCACCCAGATCCTTGTGGGCATCTGTTCCCAGTAAGGGAAAATGGAGTGAAAGCAGAACCTTCAGGAGTGCCCCCAAACTGCTGTCCACAGCTTCCTATTCTAGTGATGGATTCAAGCAATGGGCAGCAGAGTGTGCTTCCCTGGTGCACATTCATCCCTGAGAGATTCACTGGTCACATTTCAGCATTGAAAGTGGTCCCAGAAGGAAAATAAGCTGTGAATACAGTCTTTGCCTTCCTTCTCTTTAGTGAAATATTGGAGAGAATCAGTCTGAGAGCTAGGAAAAGTGAGAATCCAAGCTTGGGAGCCGTTGCCGTGGTCTGAACTGCAGCACAGCCAAAGGAAAAGTGGCAGCAGACCGAGTCCTCTCTGCCCTCAGTGATATTCCTGCTGCTGGTGGCTGCTAGCCCCATAGAAAGAGGGAAGAAAGCTGATGGCATTAGGAATGTGGTGCACACCTCAGTGGGAGCAGACAAGAGTGAGGGTCACAGAGGCTGTAGTTGTGCATCCCCTGGGGTAACCTCATGAGAGCTGCAGGGACCTGGCTCCTGGGGTCCAGGAACCCTTTAGTTCTGTGATCCATCTGGGGCATCTTCCCTTGTGTCTGATGCCTCTGGTGGGGTTATGCTGAATAAGTGCCTTGTCCTGTATGAGAGCAGCCCTCTTGCACGGCTGGAGAGCTGCTGTGAATGTGCCAAATGTGTATGAGATGGTGCAAACAAGACTAGTTTACCTTTATCAGCTGATACGGCTTTTTTTCCCCTTTTACTTTTTTATTTTTTAATCAACGTGTTTTTATACAACCTTTCTCTCCAGGGAAATGGAAGTGAAGAGAGAAAGTGACAGCAATGTGGGGCGGTGATAATGGAAGGCAGCAAGGAGCAGATCTGTGATTAGGGCTCCTCTGCAAGGGGAATTTACCAGACATTAAGCATTCATTATTTTAACCCTTTCCATCCCTTTGTCAGTGGTTCCTCCCAAGCTGAGTGTTTCTGCATGCACCACGTAGGATGAGATCCCAGGGGAGACATCAGGAAACCTGTGCTGAGCTTTGGGTGCTGCCAAACATTGGGTGCCGACTTTTGCTTGTCTCTCACAGGGGGTGCTGCTGCAGGACTGCTCTGTGCAGGATGTGTCTGGGTTTTCAATGATTGCTCCTGTAGCAGTAGAGCTTTCCACGCTGAACACAGCCCATCCTGCAACATCCCACTGTGTGCCTCCTCCTGTCATTCTGGAGTGCACATATGTTAAAATGACGGCGTTTGGGAAGATGGGAATGGCAGCTTTGGTGGAAACTGGGGATAGCAGTAATAAAAAAAAAAAAGGAAAAATAAGAAAAAAAGAAAACCAGCATCTGGCTCCTGGGGCTGGCAATGGTACAGGAGGGGCTCTCCTCAGCAGCCCCTGAGCATGCAGACACATCAGAGCAGGGCAGGCGGCTGGTAGAATCCTGAGATTGTTTCTGCAAGGAAGAGAGATTTATATCACCTATAATTTCCCACTTCCTTTTTTTTCCTCCTTTCTCCTTTGCATAACCTGTAACAAATGTGTTGCTTCCAGCAGGGCTGGAGTAGACACGACTGTCTTTTTATCTCGGCTGCATCCACTCTATTATAGCAGAAATGAGCAGAGCTATTCAGCTAATTTCTCCACCTGGCTGCTCAACCCTGGCTAACTCTTCTCATTTTCTATTCTGCAGCATGAGCATGCAGCTGCTGTGGGAAGGCTTGTTTTCTTGGGGCAGTGCGATAAGGACAATTGTTGTTAAAAGATGTGGAACAACCATAAACCACCCGGCAGTTGTTCTCAGCCTAATTGCCTTTAATTAAATAACAACACAGCTTCTCGGAGTGCTGGGATGGGGGGCAATGGGGTCCGGCAGGGAAAGACCCAGCATTAGAAAGCATGTGCCCAAGCATTGTTGGGAGTGGTGCTCACCAGCCTTGCACTCTTTTTCAGCTTGTGGCAAGCTGACGGGGATAAGTGACCCAATCACAATTAAAACCTCGGGGTCCCGCTTCGGCTCATGGATGACGGACCCTCTTGCCCCAGAGGGAGAGAACAAGGTAAGAATCCCTGTGGTCCTGGGTGTCCCCAGGAGATCTGGGGAAGGAAAATCGAGTATTACGTGGGTTTGGCAGCCATGAGGAGTGAAGAAGCCCATGCTGTTGGCCCTCGCTGCTCTTCTGCTGCCAGCATCCCCGATAACGTCATCAAACTCCATTTGTCCTCCGTCCTCCACCTGCGCTGTAGTGAGGAATTAACTGGCTGCAGCCAGAGGGATTTGTCTTGCTTTGTTTTTGTCTTTTTTGTTGTTGTTTTTCCTTTCATTCAGACCATTCAATTTTGATCCCAAGGAGGTAGGAGGTCAATAACTGGCTGAAAATCAATCCAGGCTTCCCATGACTGATGGAATGGAAAATATCTCGAGTGCTTGCTACAGATTTGCAGGCAGCAAGACATAACAAAAACCACAGTCCTTGGCTGCAGGGCAATTCCCTGCTGCACAAAGCAGCCCTCATCAAAGGATGAAGGCACCAGCACGGGCTCTATAGAGGCAGCTATTTTGAGAGCCTGCCCTGTGACCAGCTCTCTGCAGCCATGAGCACAAGGGATGCTCTGCAGAAGCCACCCCAGCACGATGCATTGCCTGGGGACGTGCAGCAGTGAAGCAGCAGTGACGTGAGGTGGCGGTTGAGGTCCTCCAGCAGCCAACTGGTTGGCACTGGCTCCCCAGTACGACACCTCTGTCTTCTAAGGTTATTAAACAGAGACAACCCTAAATATGAAGTAGAATAGGTAGGTTTTGCCCACATTTGGTTCATGAGAGAGGGACAGACTCGTCCCTTCAGGCTGTGTCTGCTGCATCCCTCAGCAGTAATGGGGTTAGGTAGGATTTACACATCTGCAAAGGCAGATCAAAAGACAGATCTGTGGCAGCTGAAGTGCATTAATTATGTGCTAACGATCTTCCTAGAGAGTTTTATCTCAAGCCAATATTTTATTATTTTTACTTTTGCCCCTGACCTTCTCTGTGGATTATTTTTATTGTGTGTAGAGGAGCAGCTTTCGCTGGAGTGTAGCTCAGGCTTCACAACCGTGTGTGTGTGTGTGTATGAAATGAATTGTGAACTGTGTTACAAATGCGTGCTTATGAGAACTCCACTGGCTGAGTGGGAAGCTGTGGGGAGAGGCCTGGCAGTTCATCATATCCATCTTCCATCGCCAAACCCCGGGAGGTGTTCGGTGGTTTTCATGGTCATTTATTCGTGTCATGAAATCATTGAACACAACTGAACAAAATTGCAAGTCGCACAGGAGCAGCCCGGCGGCAGATGCTGAGCGCAGGGATTGATGCATATTGGCAGGGCAGTGCAGGAGAAGCTGCTCAGAGGCAGCTGGCAGCGTGAGGCCATCCATCCCTCAACCTCTGCTTCTGCACAGCACAAATATCTCTGCATCCTGCCGCCTTGATAACCAGGTTTCCTTCTCTTGTGATCTTCCCTTTCCCTGTCTAAAAACTGAACGAATATTTGGTATTAATTATTTAATACCAAATAATGAAATGTGAGCAGCAGAGAGACAATGAGTTTCAGGGCTATTTTGTAATTTTCCTAACTGGTTGAACACAGGCTTTTCTTTAGCAGAATAATGCTTGTCAGCCCCACGTCTGTCAGTGGAAGCTCTCCCATGCTCTGGCACATCTCTGCCTTGTGCTCAGGGCCATCCATGCTTTCCTTCCTGAGCTTTTGAAGCCCTCCTCACAGAGACTGGGGAGGTGAGAGCAATTTGCCACACTCATTCTTTGTGTTCCAGGGCAGGGCTGAGTGGGGTCTGAAGTTCCCTGCAGCCCTCACTTGGCCTTGCAGCCAAACCCAGGATGCACACTCTGTGTGTAAATGTTTGTCTGCTCCTCTAATGGACCCTGGAGATGGCTGTACCGCAGAGCTGCTGTGATCACATTTTGCAAAGCAAGCTCACTCTGGAGCCTTACTGAAATCTGCATCCTTAAAGGCATTCCCTGCTGCCATTTCATTTACCTCTTTTCCTTCCTAAACATTTTTAACAGAAGGCAGCTATCTTTTTTTTTAGGCAGCAAAGGCACACAGGGTGTCACTCACCGGACGGATATTTCTTCTTGATATTAACTGCACCGCTTTAGCATTTGCCTCTGAATTGGTTTCAGATGACAAAAGCTCTTTTTTTTAAGGAGTCTAGACAGTGTCCCTGGCGAACTGGCGTTTAAATCATGATCTGAAATCTCTCTCCCATCTCCTGATAGCAACATTTTGATGTCTTTGTCTCTTGTATTTCAGCAGTGTTGGTTTAAGCTTTTGATGGGGAAGTGTATGATTTTTAAACCAATATGGACTTTGCCTGCATTTCCCTGACAATGAGCGATTGTGTTCCTCGCTCCTGCATGCCAAATTAACAGAGCTCAGCACAGCAGCTGCTGTAATTTACTAAGTAATGGGGCTTACAGGAGAGGAAGGCAGCATCTCTGTAGGGTTTAGCCACAGAAAGGTGCTGCTTGCCCTCTGGAGGGACAGTGCCAGTCCTGGAGAGATGCCAGCTTACCTTCAGGAAAGATTTGCCATTCTCTCCATTCCTTGTTGAGTTTGGGGTGACAGCCTGAGCTTTGTTCTGGGCACAGGAGGCTTTGGGGATGTTGTTCTCCAGCGGGTGCCTCAACGAGGTTGGCCCCGAGCAGCACACTCTGGGTTTAGCATCCTAGGCGAAGGACTGCCTTACTGATAGGAGGTCTCTGCTGTTCCCTAACCCCACGTGTTTCTGTTGCTCGCCCAGGTCTGGTACATGGACAGCTACCACAACAACCGCTTCGTCCGCGAGTACAAATCCATGGCGGATTTCATGAACACCGACAACTTTACCTCTCACCGTCTCCCTCACCCATGGTCAGGCACTGGTCAAGTGGTCTACAATGGCTCTATCTACTTCAATAAATACCAAAGCCACATAATTATCAGGTTTGACTTGAAAACAGAGACCATTCTCAAGACTCGCAGCCTGGATTATGCCGGCTACAACAACATGTACCACTACGCCTGGGGCGGCCACTCGGACATCGACCTCATGGTGGATGAGAACGGGCTGTGGGCCGTCTATGCCACCAACCAGAATGCGGGCAACATCGTCATCAGCAAGCTGGATCCCAACACCTTGCAGAGCCTCCAGACCTGGAACACCAGCTACCCGAAACGCAGCGCTGGGGAGGCCTTCATCATCTGCGGCACGCTCTACGTCACCAATGGCTATTCGGGAGGCACCAAGGTGCACTACGCCTACCAGACCAACGCCTCTACCTATGAGTACATCGACATCCCGTTCCAAAACAAGTACTCGCACATTTCCATGTTGGACTACAACCCCAAGGATCGGGCCCTCTATGCCTGGAACAACGGGCACCAAATACTTTACAATGTCACCCTCTTCCACGTCATCAGGTCCGACGAGTTGTAGTCCATCCTTGTTTAGAAACTGATTTAGGAAAATTGAAAAAAAAAAAAAAAAAAAAGGGAAAAAAAAAAAGGGAGAAATGAATATAAGAAACAAATGCTAATATTGAGGAAACACACTTTAAATAAGTAAATAAGCAAACAGCTGCCAAAATTAAGACCGACGTCATGGAGGATTATTCAGCATAGAGCTGACAGATCAGCATTACCTCTACATTTCTAGAAGTCTGGCCCCGCATTATGGACTCATGACTAACCATGTACTTGCAGCTGGAACTGCACCTGGAGAACCACTTCAGTTTGGGGTTTTGTTTTGTTTCTGTTCCGATAGCAAACCTATAGCGCATACAAAAGAAGTAAGGCAATGACTGTTGGAAGTTTATCCTTGGGAGACTCGCTCTCTTTCTGTGTGGGGGTTGCATGGACATTTTCCGACATCGCGGGCAGCTGTGATGGATGTGTGATTTGTATTTCTAAGCAGAAAGCTGACCCGTGAGGAGCTCTCGCTGTCTGAACAAGACCTATCACAGGTTAGTTTTATTCGCCTTCCATTGCAGCTACTGTCTCTCAACTGTGTTCTTGTCACTTAGATTAACTGTGCTGAGACCCGAAGTAGCTCATGGATCTGTGTCTTAGTAACTATTAAACACGATGGTTTAAGTATGTATTATGAACAAGTTGTTGTACCCATATTGTTTGAACTTATGTATTCAGCAAATATATTGTATAATGTATGTCTGTTATTTACCAGAGGTGGCGAAACTTTGTATGTCCAGTTTATGCAATGAATGTTGTAAATGCAATGATGTAGTTTGGATTAATAAATGATGGTTTTGTTTCTAAAAAGAAAAAAAAAAAAAGATCAGTGTTCACCCTTATACACAGATAACCGATTTCATGTTGATAATTACAATATTCTCTTACTGTTGTAATATCTACATAGCATTATGGTGGTTGGAAATTGCTTCTGTGGAAATTCTGTGCCGTCAGATTCCCACGGGAAGCCCAGTTTATGGAAGTGTGAAGGTAATTACTTTTTTTTTTTAAGAGGAAAACTTTGTACTATCCACAGTTATCTAAGGAACAATAAAAATATTAGGAGACTTCCCCGCTTTGTTTGTTGTGTGTTCTGCGCACGAGCAACCAGGTGCAGGGGGAGAGGATAAGAGAAATCACTGGGGTTTTGAGGTGGTGGCTGCAGCAAGTTGGGTGTGCTCCCAGCTCAGGGCCCTCTTCTTGCATGGACTTTTTGTAGGGCTGGGTCACAGCTGTGGGACAGGCCAGGCTCCATGGGGTTTTGCATAGCCTGTCTCTTGCCCCTTTGCAAGCTGCAAGCATCGCCCTGAGCACTGGGTGAGTCTTCTTTAGGACTTCTGTAGGTTCTCCTGTTGGTTATCTAAGCCAGTCTGTGCACTTCTGGGGAGATGCATGTGACTATTTGGGTATGCTGACGTTGCAAGGCATGGCACAGTGGCAGAGCACAGGCGTTGCTCTTTGTGCGCCTAATTACCCAAAGTCACTTCTATCATTAGGCAAGATTTGAGGACAAAAGAACAAATTTACTTCAAAATATTGATCTGCAAAAAGTAAATTGAATTACAAAACGGCAAAATAATGCTGTTTGCTTTAGGGCACGGCTACATTTAGACTCTAATTTTCCTAGTGCAATTCATTTAATACAAAGCTCAACAGCACAAAACGTCCTTGAACACAACAGAGGCAGAGCAGCTTTCCTGTAACTTGTACCCAAAGTTAATGAGATGAGAAAAGTGCTTTAAGGGGTGTACCTTTGTCCTATTTGCCTGTAGTGCAATGTTCTATAAATGGATGCCATATGGTCATGCAGTTAATGGTATGCATTACTTTTCAAGTGGATGAGCCATTCAAAGACAAGTACGTCCCAGAGGATTGCTTTCTATAGCCTGTGACTTAATTATTTGTTGCACGGGGTTTGCGGGTCCAAATTTAGTCATGGGACTCATTGAGATGCTTCAGAGGAACATCTGACCATATATTTGTATGCGTGTTTATGTGTCATTAATATCTGACGAGGGCTTAATGGAAGGGCACTTGATGAGGTGTCGGTGGGTGTCTGGGTTGGATGAGGGCTCTGTAGGGCCCAGGATCAGCCCTCCTGCATCCCGGTAATGAAGCTGAGCAAATAACAGAGCAGCTCCGATTTTGCTGGCCAAGTTTTTGCTTTCCTATGTCCTTTGAGCTGGATGTACCTGCCCAGGGACGAATGGAGCACCTATTCACGGACAAACAAAGCTGGCTTCCATTCCCACAGCTCTCACAGCTCTGCTGCTTTCTGCCCTGAGACAAGTCTCCTCTTTGCAGCCACAGAGCTTGGCTCATAGGACGTCTGCACAGCTCTGGGGCATGGGGGCACTGGGATTGCCCATAGCCAGGTCGTCCCACTGGGTTACTGGGAGCTCACTCAGCTCCTGCCTACAGCCTAGGCAGAAATGTTGGCTGCTGCTTAGCACTGTTGCAACAGCGAGAGCTCAGAATTTCCCTTCTTTTTCTCTTCGCTGTTACTTCTCTGACCTTCATTAGTTCTGCAAGCACCGAATGCAGAGCCCATATGGAGACAGTTATCATAAAAAAAAAAAAAGATCTTGGCCCCTTAATTAGCTCCTCATTATCTGGGAGCTCCATATTGAAGGATTAAGATGTTGCAAAGCAATTTGTTGAGTTTCCAATTAAAACTTTTTGGAACTGTTGAGCCTTTTAATACTTTATGTTTACAAATTATCTTGGACCTAGACAAATACACACATTTCCTTCACCAGGGAAATATGGCTGAGGAGCTGACCGGTATTAATACGAAATCCTTAGGTTTAATAAAGTCATAAACTATGTCAATGAAGCTTTATGTACCTGATACAACAGAGATGACAGTCTTTGAATGAATGAAAAAGAGTAAGGCTCATTAAGAGGGCAATTATGAGCTGACTCCCTAATAACTCCGCTTTTACTGCGCTGTAACTATAAAAACAAATTGTACACATCCCTCTTTATAGTAATTTGCCTCAGATGCGTTCCTGCCAGGTGAGGTATGTGCTGAGATGCTCCATTTGGAGGGCAGCAGGAGTACAAGGCTCAGCATCTCCTGGCAGCACGTTGCAGGATCAGGCCCTTCATGCACAAGTAAAAGCCAGATGGGCATGGATTACAGTCACTGTGCCGTGCAAGCTGTTTGCTGGAGGAGTGCAGCTCTGAGACACGAACACAGAAGAAAAATAGGTCTCTCCTGCAAGGCAGTGAGCTGCACATGCCTCGCCTGGGTTCCTCGGTGTGCCTGCTGCCAGAGCTGCTGCGATGGCCCAAAAAAGAGGAAGGTGGGTGGCCGTTCAACCACCCCATGCTGAGCTGTTCCCAGTATCTGCAGAGCTGGGGCAGAGGCATCGCTGGAGCCGCAGTGGCTCTCATCTTGGGATAAACACGGAGGAGTGCAACATCTTCCTTAAAACCTCCTAAAAATGGATCCCAAGTGGTTGGGGAGCGATGGCCGTCTCCACGTCGCATCCGGCGAGCGCACAGAGGGATGCAGCCTGCCTGCAGCAGGAATCAGCCCACCGAGCATCAACCAACCGCGTACAGCATCATCCTCCTGCAGAGCAGTCCCCGGGCCCGCAGGTGGGACAGGCTGGTGGCCGTTGTCCAATCACTGCAGGAGGACACGTGTCACCGAGGACGGCTCTGTGCAGTGCATGACAAGCATCACCTTTCTGCAGCGCTGGGCCTTTGTTCTCAGCCTGCGCCGAGGACTTTTGATAATATGGTACTTATGTTCTTTGGGATGTTGTAAAGCTGCGAGCTGATCTGTATTGAACATGTCGTTTGTATTCCCACGCTGTTTTTTAAGCAAATCTGTCAAATAAAACCCAAAAAAAGGAACGAGAGGAGGAATGCAAAGGAGTGCTTACATAAGGCGTTTGCTGTGCAGGCATTCGCGGGCACTGCGGGCCCTGGTGGCTTTGTGACTTTGCTGCGTATGGGGGTAAAGGGCCCTGAGAAGCCCCTTCACCTGGCACAGGGAGCAGCATAGGGGAGCACTGGCAGCCCCAGCTGGGGGCATTGCTCTATTTACCCACCAATGCTTTCCCACCCTCTGGCATGGCAGAGTTCTCTGAGCTTTGGAGTGGTTTTGCAGCTCCTTCTCGATGGGATCTCAGCTTCTTGCCCTCCCTTTGGCTTTTTGAGACCTGCTCTTTGGAAAATCCCCTCGCTCCCAGGATGATTATTTTTCACATCGTTTTCTGTTCATACTTACCCATTTCTGCACTTTCTGAGGATGCAGCTACCCAATATAAATGGTGTCTACAGCCTGAGCAGCACCTGCAGCAGCTGAGTGGGTCCCTCCTCACTGAGCCCCCAGCGAGGCAGGGAAGGGACCTTGGGGAGAAGAAACATAAACCTGCCATCTGTGGCAATTTAGCATTTACCAGTCATATTGCACTAGGGCACTGTCACTTTGAATGAATGTTAAAGCATTTCCTCTCTGTAGCCTGAGAAGTCTCCTTTTCCCATTAAATTGGCCATGGCATGCCATAATAAAACAGACACGCTGTGTCTGCAAAGGGTCACTCGGAGGGGCTGACATCAGCTCGCAGAGGTCCCCTTGTGAAGGAGGCATTCAATTAAAGTTTTATTGCAATTCCGCAGTGTGAAGCCATGAGGGTGAACCTGGGTGGCTGTGCTGGGATTGTAAATTAGTGGCTGAGCGTGGGTTTGTTGGGGATGGCAGCTGTGAGCATGGGGCTCAATGCAGGTACAGTGGCAGTATGGTGGCACGGGGACTGCAGGATGGGCAAGTGTGGAGTGATCTGGGCACGGGTTGGGTAGGGGGATGCCAGCAAGGGCACGGCTTGCAGCAGTGTTGTGGTGACAGGGAAAGCAGCCCAGGTGCTTTGCAGAACTTAGTTTCCTACAGAGCATCCTGAAGCACTGCTCCAGATGCGCTCAGTGCCCAAGCGCAGGTGCTCACAGCGCATCCATCACTCCAGGGATGACAGAGGGGAGGAAAGCTGCTGGAAATGAGCAGGGCCCTGTGCCCAGATTTTAGCCATA